TGATGCAATGAGGAATGAAAACCCACAAAGATAAACTGGGAGACATGCAGCAAAAAGAGAATTCAGTTTTTCTCCCTTTCAGCCTATTGGCATCCTACCATATCATGCCTGTTCCGGCAGTCACATTTGTTTCAGCCTTTACTGTATTGATCTGTAGATGATGAGTTAATAAAAATTAATGTCATGGACATTCTTTTACGCCTTGTAGAAGGAGACTTAAAAGCCAATTTACTTGTCCCTTGAAGTATTACAAGAATATTTAGAATTCTTGTTCCAGATTTCCCCTGGAAACAATCAAAACCTCTTTATAAAATGTCTGCTGCGAGTGGAATTTTAGATCCTTAGATCCCGCTCACAGTCACAAAGCAAAAATTGTGACCATGATTGCATTTCTTAGGTCAAATAACAAAGCTCAGGCTCCTAGGTGAGGCATATATGTACTTGCATATACTGGCCAGAAAATTCCAAATTAATCCACTGGTAAGAATAACAACAGGCAAATATTGACTAATAAAGTTATAGGCAGGAAAAAAGATGTCAGCTATCTGCTAATTTGTACAGTTTTAGACAGAAAAGCATAAGGCATTCAAGAATCGCATAACCAAACTATAACAATTTGCATTTCAAGAGAAGATTATGATAAAGACAAGTGTTTTCTGTATGAAAACGTGAAATGCTTTGTAAAATTTTTGATCTGCATAATGAAATAAGTATTGTGATACACATGAAAAACAAATCTAAGTCAGAAACACTTCACACCATATCTGAGACAATTACAAATACAGAATGCATATTAGCAGTATTTTTCACAAACAGTTCCCACATTTAATAAGCCTGTTCTTTTGAAATACATGGTCTCAATTCCTTAAAAAAAATCGGAAAAAAACCAAACCAAACCTTCCACAGTATTGAATTCATTTCCGTAATAATCTGAACACAATAACAAGGGCAGACAGCTCCTTCACCCAGTCTGGTTTTAGTAACATATTTAAGCATAGAACCTAAGACTCTTCCTTGGCAGAAATTGCAGATAAACTGATCAACATAGGAGGAAAAAAAAAAACCAAAACCAACAAACAAACAAACAAACAAACAACTCAGTAATTAACTGTTAGGAACTTTAGCCACCTATATCCTTAGTTCTTGGGAGGTAAATATTTCATTGGTATTGGTTGCTTTAGCTTTTGCTGCATCTTCAGTAAAGATCAATCACTGCAGATGGAGAGGGATCAAGTGGGAGAGTTTAATGCTAGAAGAAAGTACTGTGGAATTGTATGATTTTCTGAAGAAACACTGCACACTCTTGCCTTGTACAGTACTTACATAATTACAAGCAATGCTGTCTTCAGGTAGTTCTTTTCTGGAATTCAAATGTGAAAGGCTCAAGAAGTAAAAAAAAAAAAATCTTGTGAAGAGTTTTGTGGCATATTCTCATTCTTTAAGCTAATACAGTATCAGGAATCATACAAATCAAATATATGCAAATCTATTTAAACATAATGTGGATATGGAGTTATTTACAAACAAGCCACAAGACTTAGCAATCCTATTAAGGTATGTGATGTATTTATTGAAACTGTTTTACATCAGCAGAATAATTAGGAAACTTAGGGTTTGTGGTTCAAATTCAAGAATATGCTGTAAGTATTAACTTTTAACTACCATTACGTAGTAATATTAATGTTTTATTGACTAATGTGTGGTATTTGTTATTTGCAGAAAATAACTCGGAACAAAAGACCTTAGTGATTTGTTTGATATGTGCATGTATTTTGTGAAGTGCTAAAGATAATAAATAGGTAATGGCATATGTACAAAAATTTTTTGGGGAAAAAAAGAGGATTTTGTAAGAATATGGTTATCTGGCAACATCATCTGTTTCTTCAATGCGGCAACAGGAAAAAAAATACTTTAAAGGGAGCTTATACATGTAAATCCAGTTTTTAAAAAATTATCCTTATAATAAACTGATAAAGTCTGTATCCTGCTTTCACTGAGATGGCTGCAACAGAAGCTTGACCTTGTGTTCTCAGAGACAAGTATTTGATTTAATTTGTCAATTTCTACCTACGAAATTCTGAGTAATGGTATTACCTGTTAATTACAGCAGTATATAAAGAAAACAAATAATAATCACATTGCAGCCAAATAAAATTCAGTTTCACTTTATTCAAGGTGACGAAGAGGTTGGAGTGGGGGAGAGGAGTGTGGAAACCAAGAGAGTCATACCATGCAAAGCCATGCAGCTGAACAGAGTGATGCAAACAGTTAAGAGTTACAAATGTTTTAGCAATGTCTGGCATGTTTGATTCTATGTTTGGTTTGTCATTGATTTCTTAGAGGTAATTCTAACCCTTAACAAACTACTACTGAGAACCCAAATGACATTTCTCAAAGGTATGAAGTTTAGGTAACAGTCATCTAGAAGAGAAACTGTTCAGTGCTTCAGTAAAGGCCATGGTATACTTTTAAACACCACAGTGGGCAGACCTAAGTGCCTACATTTTAATTTTTATTGAGATCCCCTTATCTAATTGCATGTACATTTTTAATAAAAATTAATATATCTATTCTGCATTCTTGTTGAAAAAAAAAATGCATATTGCAATAAGGAATGAGGCACAGTGGAGTGGACATCTCAAACAACTTTCACAATGGCATAAGTCTGAATACCTTTCTTCTTGCCCCAGGCTGATTTATAGTTAAAATAGAGAAAACTGGTGTCTGCCAAGAAATGGCAAAATTCATTCATGACTGTATGGAGAAAGCATAAAGAAAAAACAGAGGAAAAAGATACAATTTACTGACTAGAAAAAGGGATCTATAGAAAATCATGTTATCATTACAAGTGAAGACAAGGAGGGAGGTGGGGGAAAGGTCGTATGTTGACTTTTGAACACTTCCAGTGTTTTACTTCTTGTGTTAAGGCTTTTAGTTAGCACAGAAGATCAAAGTATTTTATACTCTCTAGGAAAAATGCAATTTTGGGGGAATTGTTACATTTTCCAAAACATGAGCTTAACCATAGACATGCACATTTAATATAAATCCTTCAACATCGATGGTTAAATTGCTCAAAAATTACTGAAGAGCCAGCTGAGATTTGAGAACCAGGAGTTTGTTGGCAAAATAAATGTAAAAAAGTTAAGAACTGGAGATAACATTAATTGAAATAGGGGCTCTGTGAAGAGAAAATATTTAGGGTAAATTGAAAACTACACAAATGGGAATGTACAAAGTACTAGAAGTGAAAGTTGCAGCAGATACTCAGTAAATACTGGGGATAGAGAGAGGAGATGACAACACAGTAATCAAGAATCAAGATCATGATGAGGCTATTAATTGAACTATCATGCCTTAATATGAAAAGTGATAGATGAAAAACAAATTACAGATACGGAATGGTACTCAGTGCACCTAATAACACTACTTATCTAAGGCAAAGTATTCTCTTAGTTTGGCATGATTATAACCTGAGTTAATACTCTTGGTACGTGCTTGGTGTACAAAGAAGTGGAGTAACACAGTCATTTTCATAGTTTGGAATTCTCTTAATCTTTTGATTCAATTTACAATTTATTGGACAAATTACAATATTACATGTATTCTGTAACCTGCTAAATGGTTACTCGACACCAAAGACAAGACTTACAGTAAATTAAAGAACTGCAATTGTAGGTTAGCATGCTAGTCATTTCAGATTTTACAATAATGTGACAATTTGGATATCTCAAGCACCACCACCAATGTCAGAATTAAATCCTCTACCTATAAATGTTCCAAACATTTGTTTAGAAATAATATTTTGGCAGCAGGTACTTACTATATGTACCAGATATTTTGGAGACTTTGATATGGGAATTTATGGAAACCTTCATGTAACACAGTACTGTTTCCTGCACTTTTTATATACTGCAGTAAACAGCCATTCAACAATGACTGTTACATCTAAGAAATAAGCAGAATTGCACACATTCAAGCTCTCCCTATTAAAGTTCTGCTGTCTGGATATGAAACAAAAAAGTTTCATTGGGTAAGAAAAGTTGATAAAAGCAACTTTCAAATATTATATTTATTATTTAATATAAATTTGACTTTATTTGTCACTTGCTTAGCACACAACACTGTGTAATCCAAGGCATTTATTTTTGGTATGCAACAGTGCACTTATAACCCCATAAACTCCTTGAGTTGCAAGACTGTTAATAACTTCTATTTAAAATAATAGGCTTTAGTTAATATTTTTAGTGTAGAGATATATTAATTCTCCCCATTATACATTTTTGTAAACTGTTATATTTTCTGTGAATATTGATAGAGGTGCTGCAATGCTTCCTTGAGTAGAATATAAAAAAAGTTTACACTAAAAGTGATATTGTATTGTAAATTCATCGTGACCTGGTCCATTCATTTACAAAAAGAAAATAATAGTAAAATAAGCAGCCAGTCCTGTGATCATCTCAATTAGACTTCCCTGGTTAGTAGCCTCCTTGTTAGACTTGGAGTTGTAAGACGAGTGATTATTAAGTTAACATTTCCTTTGATAAAGAAATTTGAATTTCAACACAGCCTCAAGTCATATGAAAACTAAGACAGAAACTATTGATTTTCAGAATCAAATAAAAACTGAAAGATTTGCTCTGAATAGTATCATAAGAATTATTCCAGAGTTCAATTTCAATATCAAATGTAATGGTAAAACAAATTCATTTTACACTGTATTTATAAAAAAATGAAATCTGGAATTCTTGCATTAAAAAAACCAACCAAAACAAGCCAAAACTTGGCAGAATTTTTTTCATCACTAGATTATTTTTTTAACTTGTCATCTATTTTTGTGTTATAGCCATAGACTGTGGTGACCATAATAAACAATTTCATAAATCTTCCTTCCCTCCTGTTTTTGCTTTTGTTGCTGATATTCAAATAGTTCTGCTTGTTGAAGAGGAATGAAAAGGTAGCTGTTCAGTGTTCTTCATATCTTGGTGCTTCTCCATTCATTACAATTTTGGCTGATTCTCTCTCACTTCTTCCAGTTTAGAAAGGATCCACTGTACGAAGGAAAAGGAAAAAAGAAAAATGTTGCTTTGGTAGAAACCATACAAAGCAGGTGAAAATTAGATTGGGTTAGCCAGACACTTTAATACCTGCTCTCTTCCTAACCGAGTCTTAATACAGTGCTCAAAATTCTGCTGTAGATTACAAACTCCCGATTTCCCGTATGAAAATGGAGGCATTTAAGTACCAATATCTGACATCGAATACCACAGCTAATTAAACTGGATGGGTTGATATTTCAGTTTCCTGGTCTGTATTTCAATGAATAATATTTTTTAAAATAACTGACACCATCATTTCACCCACATCATTATTAATGCTCTGCATTAGCCTACAACTCTAGATAAATCACAGATGACGACAGAGAAGTAAGGATAACAAAAGACAGAGGACAAGAATAGGTTGCACCAATGTGGTAATACAGTTATTTAGAAAGAAGCTTTCTTTAACTATACTTGGTTTCTTTTCAGGAATTTCAAATTCACATATTTACTGAACATAGAAGGGAAACTGGTTTCCCAAGAGTCTAAAAAAAAAGGGATTGCCATGAGAAAGCTGCATAATGCTTTCAGGAAGATGAGCGGATTATTATTACATCAGATTCTGTTACGGGATCAGGTTCTATGTTACAGATCTTTAGGATCCCCTCCTCCCCATCACAAGCTCACCACCGCCCCCCCCAAGGAAACCAGAGCTTCTGTTTAGCAGGATGCTGAAGGTTTGAAAGAAGAACTGGCTGTTCAAGAAATCACTATTCACATCAGAATATGGCACTCCTCACAGATGGAACAACTTTGTAGTGTCCACTAGACTGACGACAGGAAAAATGTTCACAAAGCAGTGTCACTGAAATGACCTCATACCCTTTTTTACTATAAAGGGTGCAAGTTTCATTTTCACTGTTCCTAAAACATGTCCCTCAGTGTTGTCTCACTGTATACACAAGCCCAAGTGTCACATTTGCAGAAGTGAGCCGTAGGCTAAACAGCCCAGAAGCGACTCTGAAGACTTGCTTTCTGTAGGATAGCCCCTAAGGGCCTGATGGCAATTACTGAATGAATCTGTTAAGTATTCCTTCAAGATAAAACTACATTCCTTACCAAGCCTGCCTGACAGTGACTTTTCCCCTCATATTCTCATTCCTGTTGGTTTTGTGAGGTTCACAGGCCTTGCGAGGAAAAGACACAAACTGACATTTTTGTGAAAAGTGCACACAGCTTTTTCAGCTTTCTTTTCCTTGCTTAAGACTTACAGCATACATAATATGATGCACTAATTTGATTTTTGGTATTGTTCCTGATTTAGCTGGGGCATAGATGGGATTCCCTTCCCAGACAGACTACTGGACCTCAGTGCCACCCCTGCCCCACCACAGCCAAAAAGAAAAAAAAGAGGAGCTCAGTATCTCCAAAGAGTACAGACAAGTCAAATTCAGCACGGCGTCCTCAAAAACCTTGACAGTATTTGTAATGCTTTTTGAGGTAGGAGTCAAAAGGTATCATTCGGCTGTGGTTAGAAGCTACCCTCATAAAGACATAAGCAACTTTAACTCATGAGAAGATGCAAAAGCAACTTAAACTGATGAGAGGATGCAACTTTCGCAGACTGTTTCAAGTAGTAATCCCATATCCCACTGGTGTGAATATATGTAAGACTAATTTATTCTTTGTGAAAATAATGAGCTACAGTAATAAAAACAAGGCAGAACTTTTGTAATCTGGCTACTTGATAGTTCTAGTAGGAGACCTGAACCACTCCTACTCTCTGCTGTAGTGAAAACTAGTGATGCCACAAGGAAGAGATCACATAGAATACCTGTATAATACTAGTAATATCATATATCAAATAAAAAAATTGTGTTTCTATTAGGGATTTTCTTCATTCTTCAACCAAAACTATTTTATGGAACAGAGGAATGACACCCTACCCTGCCCCCCAGAATAAAATTAGGAGTATTTACAAATAGTTTGTTCTATTAAAAAGTACTATTTTAATTCACATTCTTGATTGTTTATTTTTTGTTAGCAGTACTGTTAAATCAGCCATTTCACAGACAGTTATAATTCCAAAGATGTATGTAAGGAAAAGTTTGGTGTTGGAATTGAGTATTTTTGAAATTCAGTACTGAATAGATCATTGCCATTTCCATCTGTGTAATGGCTATGTGAAAATACTCCATTTTAAATATACATAGTAGTTTCAGGTTAAGAATACTTCTGTTTCACTTTTTAAGCCAAATTTAGCACAATATAATTGTAATAGTATTTTGACTTTACCTTAGCATCCTCTGGACTTTTAAAATTGATAATTTTTCCAAATTCTTTGGCATGGAACACAGACTTAACTCGTTCCTAAAAAAAAAAAAAAAAAAAAAAAGTAATTCCAAATTGAAGTTAGTTTCTTCAAACTTTATGACTAAGAAGTTATTTACCATTAAGGCAGCTATATGGTTCAGACAGCAACGTGTACCCATTACACTAATCTGAATATGTTCACATCGCATGCACACACCCTGAGAAACTTCATTTTCTGCATGAAAGCACAATGGAGCGAAACACTCCAGAAATAACAGACTTCCCTTTTTACCATGGAGTCCCTGGAGATTGGACTAAAAAACTGTGTAGGAATGGAAGCAGATAATGGAGTATGTGTAGTAACAAAATCCAGTACTCCCTAAGGCTACAATTTCTCATTCTCCTTCAAGTCATTACCTGGGCGGACATTCCACCAACACTGACTTGCAAGTATTGGTCTTAGATAGTGAAAACAGCAACTTAGGCTTCAGAAATAAAACGTAAGCAGTGCTTTGCAAAATACAGTTTTCAACCATAGATTTCAATAAAGAGCATACTGCAGACATGTGAATGGACTCTGGAATGACTGCTGTATAGGGGTAAAGATGGATATGCTATTCAGGATTGTCTGAAATGGCAGAAACTCTAAAGAATTATTTCATCCTGTAAAAGTTCACTTGCAGTCAGAAATCCAGTTTGGAGGATTCCAAACCAATATGGCTCTGCCTTTCATGCTCTCTGCAATAGAAACAAATAATCTGAGTGAAAAACTGAATGACTTTGTACACTGTCAAGACTGTCCTGACAACCAAGATGTGTAATTACACACATGAAGCTTATTAAAAACAGACACAAAACAAGACACTGGCAGGTAAATTTATTGATTGAAATTAAATCCAGTTACCATCTCAAAAAAAAAATTTAAGAATCATGTTTTTTAAGGAACTTTGCCTCTGTAAGTATACTCGGTCATCAGTGGTCATCTTTCTCCTTATGCCCTTGGCCAGTTTACCAGGGAAAGTAAGTTTGGGGATTTTTTAAAGCAAAAATTGCAACTGAGAGCAACATTCTTCAGCTTGCATTGAAAGGGATAAGCATAGGTCATTACAGTTTTTATAAAGATATTAACAACTTATACTTTTGAAGAATTTGATTACTAGGAAATGCAACAACAGTCCTTGAAGCATAGCACATGTATTGCTTTGATATATTTGAATCTTTGGGATTGCAACAAGGTAGATTTCCACATATTAGCATATTCCCACAGTGCCAGAATGTGTAATGAAAATATTCTGCAACTGTCTGAGAAAGTTTTGTTGTATCACCGTTTTCCAAACTATGAATACACCACAAGCTGGTACATATAAACAAAAAATTCCCAGGGCTCAAGGAATAATTTCATCTGCAAACACCAAGTCACCATTCTGCTTAGAACATTCAGAAGCTAGTTATCTGAGGAGTTTGCCCATGCCAAATTTCAACTCCCTTCTCTGAGTGCATATCAACTAGAAGAGAGATCAAGAATTCAAAGGAGAGAGATCAGGAATTCAAAGTTCAATTTTATAAACAGTAACACAAAAAGAAACCAAAACACGACGAGGTTAACATACCTTGGCTTCAATGCGTAACCTTCTGCCATCAACGATGAATGGTTCTTTGGTAAATTCATCATAAGTGTATTGCCATTCACATGTCAGCTGTCCAAATGTCCCTTTTGTCACAAATAACACACCACTAGACACCAGAAAATAGAATCAATAATTTAAAAATTAATGTAAAAATACTTAAAAGTTACCAAGTTACTCTAGCTCTAGTGAAGTCATTGTTCCAAAACAGTTCTTATCTAATGATATGTAACAACCATACAGCATACTTTCCAAAAGAGTGACTTTTGAACATTCCTCTAACATATTTAAAATACTGTTTCATAGCAAAACCATAACACTACTTCTAGCTGTATTTCTAAAAAAAGTTGTACAGTTTTGATTTCAGAAGGATGCTTGATACTCCACTGTTAGACATTATTGACTATGTTCCTGTCATATCCTTTTTTCCTTCATTATGCTAATTTATAAGTGAATCCCACAGTTCCATTGACTTTAACCTAACCAGATTTATAACAAATCTTTCTCAGCTAAAGAAATCATAAAACTAACATTCCTTTTCTCTCCTTACATAGAGAAATTACTATGGCACTCAAAATAACATACTCTTGTGTTGAACAATGCCACTGTTTAACACGACTGTTAACAGCACCCTAAGCATGCCTTCCCCATTATTTTATCTACATACATAATGACATGATAGTTTTAAGTACTTATTATTCAGAGTCAAAACTGTTTACCTTTTTGTTACCATTAACAGGTCTGTACTGTTGACCATAGCATGTGCAATGTATCTGAGTTTTGCAAATCTTCCATTTTCAATTTTCTAAAAGAGACAAAAGTTTTGTAGCTTTGACTATGCTAGTATAAATTCATGTACTAATTTTGTGCTTAAAATGTATTTATCCCCCCAAAAGTATAAATTGCAACAAAGCACATAGCATATACTTTTAAATAAAAGGCTATTTCCATAAAGTCAGAATATGACTAACAGATCTGTGACAGCTAATGTTCATAGTTATACAGAATTTTTCGGTTGCTGTTAATGCAGCTATGCAAATAAAAATCAATCCTAACCAAAACTGGCAAGGAGCAATATAATTTCTCAAAACATTTCAAGTAAGTTTTCTACATATTTTTAGTACATGCCAAACTTCTGCTGACTAATACAATTCTGAAACAACAAAAGAAATAAGGATTCATTTCCTAAATTATGCCAAGTCACCTCCAAAACATTGGAGTAATTAATTCTGGGAATAAATCTATGCTTAACTGTATACAAGAACCCACTATCATGTAGACAGTGGGACTTAATAATGTACTTGAAGTAATGCTTAGCATTTCTCCACATTCTTTTGTTTTCCCCTGAATTTACTTAATCTTTTCCTACAATTGCTGGAGTATTGTAGCAGAATGTTCTTTAATGGGAGATAAGTTTAAAATATTGACGACAGCGGATTAATCATTTTTAAAAACAGAGGTTCTGTAACTTTAACATGACTGGACAACCATTGGATTTCTGACTTCTTGAGCAATGAGTGATTAAATTAGTGATCAAGTTAAGATTGCTGCATGTTAGTTGCGAATAGCAACATGACTGCTTGCATACTTTCCATCTGTTACAAATTGGAAGTAAAAATAATTAGTATAAACTGGTATGATTCAATAAATCCTTAACCACAAACATATTGCTTCAGATATGTATGCCAATATTTAAAAACATATAGGTTAGTTCTCAATGCAGTTAAAATAGCAAAACCATTTAATGAGTATTCATCACGACTGTAAAATGATAAAGACATTTAATTAGGCATACCCTACAACTTCAAATTTGGCCACATGGATAGCTCCACTTGCCCACACAGATTTTTTTTAAATAATGCCTTCCCTCAAAGTTGCTGATTCTTTAGTGACTAAAATGCAAGAACATCTGAGTAAGAAGTTCTCAAAAGAGAGCTTTCCACAAAGCTCTCAGGAAGCTTGGATTATTTCTCTCTCCCCAGCTCTGTTGGGCTACAAAATCACAGCTATTGATCATGTGCCTACCTACATAAGTCACTGCTTGAATTTATTTCTGCAAGAGCTAGTGTCAGGGGCAGGATGAATTCAGCAAGAAGAATGGCAGAAGAAATAAGGAATTAAGGGCTTGGAAAGCCTTTTTTATTTTATTTTTGGAAATTCCTTATTCGGGCTTTGTCTAGGTGTTGCCATGCCTCTGATTTGAGTCTCTCCCTGTCTCTCATATGAAGTAGGAGCTTGGACCTACATAACTAAATAACCAAAAAAATCCTCTCTTGAGGCAGCCTCTACAATGTTCCAGCACACAACACACTGGATGATTAGAAGACAGAGGAGGCTGTATGGGCATACAGCATGGATAGGATATCTGACCCAGACACCACACTACTGGTCTAGTTCTGTGTCCTGCTGGATTTTCAGCGTTAGTGGCCTAGCGAGAAAGACAGAGAAAGGGAGGAGAAGGCTGACAGGAACTCAGGGAAATAATGTGTGTGGAAAGAACAAGGGTGGTTGAGTAGAGGTAACAAATACACATCGTTGCATTTAATCTGCAAGACTCTGTGACAATGCCACCAATTTCTCTTACTGACCAAACACGTTATAAATATTGCAAAGTATGACCAGTATCTCTTGTCTATCAGAAGCAATAGTGGGGGAGAAGCATTTAGCAATTTAGCCTTATTAGGATCTCTAGTCTCTCCCCTGCATCATAGAAGATAACTTTTTTATGCTTTGCAAAGCATTGAGATAAGGCTAGAGTGGGATTTAAAAGAGCAGGGTTACCTCTTGCTGTCTTTTCATTAGCTTGCTAGTTAATTTTCAACAAGTCATGTCACCCCCCTGTAACTTACTCGGTTTACTGATAATCAATTGAGAATTATGAAAATTATTATGGAAGTACAGTACTTAACTATCACACAGGTTGCAATCCTAAACAAAACTTATTTAAATGTCCACCAAACTAAGATTCACAAAGAAGTTATTTGCTCAGGACAAAAATATTGTTAGCATGTGCTAAGCGCTGAGCTAACTACTCCTCATTGTTGGCTATGAGTCAAAGATCATAAACTCAAGTTATCTGCGTTCTACAGTTTTGTAGACAACAGACATTAACTGGGAAATAAGACACAGGAAAATCCCGCACAGTCCATTTGCAAAGGTAACGTTTGTATCTATGCTGAGCAGTAACTGCTTCCAAATTTTCTGCCTTTAGATATTTCTACCCCTCATTACAATCTTTATCCCTTTTAGCATTAGGCTTGCACCTATTCATTAGGAAATACATCATAAAGGGATACACCAATTTACTGCTGATCATTCTTATAGCAAGATCGCTACTGCGCTCTGCTACCCAAGTGGCTTATACAAGTCAAACATAAAAGGATATATAATTGATCCCTCAATATAGATGCACAAATATGTTATTTAAATTTTACAGTATTTAGCTATTAATTGTTTGGAGAAAGATAGCAACTTGGACCACTGTTTGGTGATGCAAAACTATGAAAGTTAACATTGATCAATCGTTTTTTTCAATATTAGTTTCACCACTGTAAGAAAACAAATACTAATTTTCATTTTTAATTAAAAAAGGTTTAATAACCTGATTACTTTAGTATATGTTATGGTTAATTGACTAGGCATGAAAATTGAATTAATCTATTCAAAAAAGACACTCCAGCAGCTCTAAAATGTGAAGTAATCAGAGCACAAATCCCCTCCTTTGCAAATTATTCTTACCTGTAGTACAAATGCTTAGATGTCACTGCAATAATCTAACAGTAGATGTGATCATTTGTGCAGAGATGGATATGCAAATATGCTCAGTGTCTTAAAAGTGGCATCTCTGCATTTGGAAGGATTCCTAATCACACTACATGCTCCTAATTTATTGAGGAGGAAGCACAGAGGCCTTTGAGAAAGTTAGAAATAAAACTGAGCAGAGTGTAGGTAGTGGGGACAAAATTTAAAATCTATGACCCTTCTGGTTATAGTTGTAAAAAATACTAGTAGCGTGTGTGATAAAAAAGTCTGAATGTGTGATATCCTTGAACTCATCTCAACGGAAACGACATGTAAAAAAAAAAATACTGTAAAGACCGTTACTACTTAAAAAGTGGTTATAAATCTGCTACTCTTCTCTCTTGATGTTCAGATTAACTTGAAGTTTTCAAGTGGGTTTTAGATTGCCAGTGTATTTTCTTATGAACTGATTACTATCCAAATGTGTGAGTTCTGAAGGCAATTAACTGTTGTTGATAGAAACTCCAACATTGAATGTATCTTTCAGTTCAAATTATAAGGTGACTTTTTCAAAAGCTGTAGAATTGCTCATTTCAGCAGACTAACCTGGTATAATTACATATCCAGTCTTCCCCACAGAAACATTCAATAATTCTAAGCGTACACAGGTCACTTGTTAGATCTAGCTTGAATGCGTATGAAAAAAGGCGAAAAGTTGTTAAACGAAGAAACAAATAACATGTAAAATGTTCCTTTTTCTGCTATGCAAAAATCTCTCCTCATCCTTTATTAATAAAAACTAACGTTAATCCTTTATTGCCTACTCCCTCATTCCAGTTATCATAATGTGCAATGTCATTCTATAAAAAGCAAAGCTTTTGCCCATGATGTGCTAGTGCCTGAATTCAAGATTACATTCAGCCATGCTTAACAGCAGCTCTGAAATCAATGCGGTTTTATTCAAATCAACAGAAATTTGTGTCCAAGCTTAACCTTTCAATTTAAGGCCACAGTGTGCAGGACAGTAAAAATTAGGACACAAAGTTTCTGCTTCACAACAGAAATATAATTTGCCTATGCTGACTGGCAGAATTATCTTGGGTCAATTTTTTACCTGAATACCAAGAGAATTCATTTGATGAGCTGAATGGAGAAACCATACTGATCTACACTTCCATTTTGATGACCACATCTAGATGTTCTTTGTGTTTCCTGCCAATACAAGCAAAGTTCTTTGATTTGTAGCATCTGAAGTGATTACTGTATCAGCAGGGAAATGGAAAAATATTTCAATTTTTTTTCTTGTATTCTGTGTCAGAAAACAAGCTGGTGTATGCTTTGCCTAGGAAACTTCTAGTATTTACTTGCTTTTCCACCATATATAAGTATTTATGCTTTAATCACAAACAAGCTAAAACGAAACTGAGTCACACAAGCTTCCATGTTCTTCTGAAACAACTGGTGTTAGCTAGTCTCAGCCAGCTTCCTGTACATATACAGAAGTCTTCTATTTGGGGGTGGGCAATGGCTACGAAATAATATCCAAATGTTGCACATTGAAGTGGTAAGAATCCTGCTCCTTCCTTCAACCTAATCACAACAGGTTTTCCAAAGGAGAACAGATAATGGCAGCTGTGACTCAATTAAGGGAGCAGCAAACTAGATAGCATGCATGAATGGATGCCTGGTAAGAGTCAGGACAATGTAGAATAAAAATGAAGTTACTTTGAACTTTGGAAAGAACTTGTCCCTATAATTTCGTGAAGTGAAACCTCAGTTTCAGAGTACTTCACAAAATGGATGTTTATGTTTTGATCTAAACCCAAGCCCAAGGGTGGTGAGGGAAGGAGAGAAAGGAGGAGTATGACACACTTTTCCCACTCCTCAGATGTTCTTCCTGGCAGACTGAAGTTTGAATACTAAGAAACAAGGGTCTGTTCAACCCATTCCAACATTCTTGCCACCTAATCTGAAGCTTACCTCATGACCAAAAAAGGATCACTGAACAGAAAGCTGAACACCTCCAATACAGTAGGATACAGTATTGAAGCATGGCTTTGAAGG